TAGCCACCACTAAAAAGGATGTGCTAAGAATTGTGCATAAATTTCTTCCTCGCAAGGAAATCAAACAAAGTGATATTGCATACAAATCAAAATCATTATAGGTGAKAACCAACAATCAAAACCATTGGAAAGCAAACAGAGTTACAGCACATAGAAATCAAAGATGATAACAAAAACTATTACCCCAAAATTAGGTGCATAACAGTTCCATCAGTGTATATGATCAAAGAATGATCTCTCTCATAGAAGATTGGTTATTAGATGGAAGCCCATAGGTTTCACATGGATATCAAAGCCTAGTTCCAACCTGTACTTGTATTCATTCAAGTTATTAAGCTATTAACCATGCAATGGTCCTACTTTTTGATACATGAATGGGTTGTACTAAGATTAGAGTCCTAATCTCCTACATATAATATATATAATAGGCGACTCCTCATGCTGCCAACTGGTTTCATGACTCAAAACCCGAGATATTTTTGCACTAATTTGCATCAACGACCCCAAAGTCAGAAGCAAATGGGGACATACTAATGAAGAAAACAAACCAACTTAATGGAGAAAACCCAAATAGAGGCAACAATCACAACATTACGATGTAACTAAATTCACTGCTGAGAAGCATATCACAAGATAGAAAGTATCATCCCCATTAAGAGAAAGTTTCTTGAGAACTCTTCGTTTGTCCAAAAGACAGACAACTTTCTTCACGAATTTTAATAAATCTCCAATTCAGCAGTAGCTGATAACAATTTGTAGTATATTCACTGTAAAATAAATTGCACAAGTATTATCTCGCATGATATGAACACTAATTCAATTCATTACACGTGAACCACAGAGATTAAAAATATAGAACCAATTAAAAAGTTTACGAGCCTAGATTTGACGAACATACGCAAAATCATTAGACAGACAAAGTAATAACAAGAGATTTCACTGCAATATGTACCGGAACAATTATCATGATCGCGACTTTGAAGTCATTACGCGCGTACCACACTTACAGATCAAACACATACAAAACAAATTAAAACGTGAAAAGGAATCAAAGATCAGGCAAACATACACAAAATCATTAATAAAACTTTAATTTATAAAGAAACTACCTGCATCCCGAAGAACAAGGTATTCCCTGCACAAAAACTCTTGTTTTGAATACTAAGAGAGGAAAGGCCGATGGTTTTAGAAGCTGCACTAGTCGTCGGTGGCGGCGGTAGGAGAAAGCTACGGTGGTGGTGAATTGGAAGGGCGATGGAAGCTAGCAGGTGTCCCTTTGAACTTCGTCGTTAAAGCTTCGTGCCCACCACGCTCCACCGACTTTCCTGCATTACGCGTTGGCTTCATTTTCTGAACTTATTGGCCCAAACTATGATGAGGCCCAATTCAGCGGATTTTATCTCCAATAGCTTTCGAAAAAAATTACAAAAATAGCCTTAAAATATTTCATTTTTTAAGCTAAAAACAAGAAAGTTTCAATTTTTGGAGGCAGTGTTGCATACAAAACTTTTGATTACATTGCATAAACGAGATGATATAGAATGTATGTTAAGAACAAAAATGGACTAAACCTAAAATGATTAACAATCTGAAACTAAACCTAAATCATTAATGATTTGAACCTAAAACCAGATTATAAATGGTTTGAACCAAAATAATTCCGGCTATAGTTTTACACGGGTCGATAAAAAAAACCATAAACACATGTAAATTTGGACGCCAAAATTTTGGAGACCCTGTTCAAAATCTCACATTTAACATGCTAAGGAACAGTTCTGACTAAAAATATAAATTGTATCGACTGTATTAATTAAATTGACATAAATTCAATTGGGTATGAGTTGTTTGTTTATTTCTTAATAGTCTCACTAAAAGATAGTCTCTGAATCATTAAGAGATGAATCTTGTTTGACAAAAAAATGTCTTTTAATGGTTCTAAAATTCTTTGAATGATTTAGAATTATAGGTCTCCCTTAACCATTCAGCGTTCTATTTTCATTGTAAATAATTATCAAACAATTATATTTCATTTTGCACTATATATCATTAAAGTCTCTTAATAATTCTGCATCAAACCATTCAACAACTATCAAACATTACTTTAGTTATTTTAATTGGTTGATAGTACAATACTAAGTATGTAAAATTGGTATATAATATTGAAAGTCGTTTATCATGGTAGTACCATGACACCGTCTTATTTAATCATTTATTAGTTTTTGAATTTTTGTATCTATTAAATATCAAACTTTATAACTGTAACTAATTTCTTTGAACATTAGAACGTTTACAAATTATATTCCTTCCAATTAAAAACTCTTAAACATCATATGTTAAGGTGAATCTTCTTTACCTCTTAATATTCCATTAAAAGGCACCATCTAAATCGTTAGGCGATAAATCTTGTTTGACAAAAACAAAGCCTACCTCTTAATGGTTCTAAAACCCTCTGAATGATTTGTTTCTTGTGCCTCTCTTAACCATTCGACATCCTAATTTCATTGTAAACAATTACCAAATAATTATATTTCATTTTACACTATATCATAAGTCTTTTAATCATTCTACACCAAACTATTCAACAACTGTCAAACAACCCCGAAATAAAAATTCATTCTCATTTTCATTATCTGTCATTTTAATTCCTTTGTCTAGACAAATGTGGGGATAAAAGAACAATTACCTGCAAGAATGTCCACTTCCCTTGTATCCCTAAGAACTGTATGGACAATTTGAAATTACCAAAATACCATCTAAACAAGTATCAATCAAGCAAGCAGGCAGCATGCAAGCCAGCCAGCCAGCCCTCTTCTGATTCATAAAAAAGAAAATTTGATAGATCAATCAACAAACTCCATACATAAACAAGACTAGCTCAAGAAAATCTTCCAATTTTTTCCCATCAAGCGGAATTCTCGTGCAGGAGGACATATTCTCGGCTGCCAAACGAACAAACACAGCCACAACCCGTAAGATTACAAATAACAGGAACCAAGATGGCGATTAAAGAGTGAACGATAAACAGATTATAGCAAGCAACTTGCTGTATGATAGGAGAGCGAGTATGCATCTCTGACTCGTTTTTTGTAGAAACTGAGGCTCGAGTTCATGATCACATACAATTGAAAGCCATGCATCTATTTAAACAAAAAAACCAAACCAAACCAAAAAGGTCAGGACGATCCCATGTAGAGATAGGTCTGGGAAGGGTAAGGTGTATGCAACAGACCTTACCTCTACCCCAAAAGGTAGAGAGGTGGTTTTCCGTAAAGGCCTCCGCCTTGCAGTACAAATAGATATAACAAGCTAGTAAGATATCGCAGAGGGTAGAGATGGCCAAAATCCGGTCCCGGTCCAAGATTTCCCTTTTGTAACCGGCTCCATCATAACCAGTCCCAAACCAAAAACTCTCAGCCCGTCCTCCATGTAAAAAGCCCGGTCCCCGGCCAGGCCCAAATCGGTCCCAACTCTTTCTTTCCCAAAAATCAATTTTAAACATATAAAAAATTGTGTTTGAAGATTTTTTTTATATAATATCTTATTGAAATACACTCAAAAAAATTCTAATCCTTTTCACACTAAAATGTCGAATGTTTCTATAATTAAGATTTTTTAAATTTAGTATTGACACACTTAAAAAAACCTCAGGCCAGGCCAAGCCGGAAATTTTCACAAAAATCGTAACCAGTCCGGGTCCTAAGCCAGTCCGGGCCCATTTTGGCCATCTCTAGGTGAGAGTGTCAAGACCTGCATTCATGGTTTCATATGAATGAAGACCAATATGAGGAGATTTTAAGCATCAGGAATCTAGCTTAACTAGGCAAAACCAGTGGATTCCGGGTTACCGGTAAAGCCCAGCCTCCCAAAAGGTCAAGGGTCCAAACGTGACCAAAGACGGGAAGTGTGTGCGAGTATTTGGCGTATATAAATATTATATACTTCAAAAAGAAGAGTTGCAACAATGAAATAACCATAAATGAAGCATATAGTGGGAAAGCAATAACCTACCTACTATTCCCAAACTTAATAGTGTCTTTCTCCATAAGTTCATAATAACGTTCAGGGTCAATACGATTATCCTGCAATTGCAAAAGGGTACGTTAGACCACATACTGAATAGCACCAAGATTTTGTATCGTCTTAATAATCACCGTTTCCATACATTTATGAAAGTCCCATTTGTGCTTCCAAGATCCATTATGTAAGGCCTAGAATTAAGAACAATAAGTTAATATATAAACATCAGCTTCAACATAAATCCCATTTGCTCATGAATATGACAAAAAATAGGAGTCTTTTAGTCTTTTTACCTTATTTCCTTCTTTAACATGCCATCAGGTTGCTCCTTCTCAACTTGCCTGAGAATTAAAAGATATCAGAAACTGATGAAAATATGTTGTCCAGGAACAGCGAGCATCAACTGAAACTTCACATGTAGGGCTGTAAACAAACTGAATGTTTAGCAAACGATTCGTGAACGTTCGGTGGGAAGTTCTTTATTTAATAAATGAACGGACATGAATAAAAAAAATTTATTCGCGTAGTTAAATGAACGGACATGAACAATGGTCCAGTCTGTTCATTTATGTTCAATTACGCTTCTTTTTATATATATACATATATACACACATACATATTATGAATATGTAAAGTTATTAATTACATTAAATTTATAAGATTCTTTTCTATCCCTTTTAAGTTTACTCAGTTTTTCATTACGCTATATTATTCTTTAGGAACAAAATGATGAGTAATGGTGGATGTTTTTTGTGCATTTGTGTTCGTTCATTAGGATCGTAACAAACAAACATAAACTAACACGAACAAGCACATTTTCTTAATGAACAACACATGAACACAAAAAAAATTCGTTCGTTTAGCGTTCAGGTTCATTCGTTTGTTCGGTTAAATTAAACGAACGAACACAAACAAGCCTATGTTCGTGTTCATTCGGTTCGCTACAGCCCTATTCACATGGTTATCCTACCGGTACTGTAGAACCGCATGCTGTTTGCTACATGATGGATGATCTGTAGGGATGTCTGCTACTCGTCTCTCTCTCCCAAATAGATAGCAGGTTTGACGATGCACATAAAGTGGCTCTATTTGAAGCAAAAACTGTTAGTAGCATAATTGCAACAGAATAACTTTTGATTGTTGCATAAAGGTAGCAAAAATTGGCAGGTAAAGTAGTTGGTTCGGCTAGTAAAACACGAATGAGATCATATGGTATTAAATATCTGAATTTCGTGAATAGATTGGCACTGGAATATATCATCTATCATTTTTGATATCCGGTATGTAATATATCAACTATCACAGTTGAAATGAATAAAGGTCAAAGCGAAAGGATCGTGTTAAGGTGAGAAGCGTAAGAAGGAATCTGGACCTTTGATCACCTTTAATCTCAAATCCACCCATGAATCGCGCTTAATACGAGGATTGATCCAGTGCATCTCATCCTAATGTGCATCCAAGAGTGGAAATCCCTTCTTACGCTTCTCACCTTAACTCTCGTTCTCCTCCGAACCCAACCCTAAAGGTCAATATGCTATATAGAGAGAGGGAGGTTCAGGGTAAAACCTCCCAAAAAATGAAAAACTGAGAAACACCTTGGTAACCATTCATCTGGATACTATACACATGCGCTTACAAGTAACTGAAGTTGTTTCTTGGTTTTTATGCACGTAAGCATAACATACCGTACAAATTACTTGTGTACACATGTGCATTCCATCTAGATGAACGTTTACCAAGGTGTTTCTCAGTTTTTCACTTTTTTACGGTTTTTCCCTGAACCTAGCCCTATATATATAGAGGGAGGATCAAACGAGAATGCAAACTATTTAAGAGGATAGGAAGCGGTCAAATCACTTGCAAGATCACATGTGATTTTACATTAACGGTCAAAAAAGGTATGTGAGCGACTTTGGTCGTGACTTTAGGTCGCAGAGCAAAGTCGCGACCAAAGTCGCGTGAATCACATGTGATTTTGTACGTATTAGTGTAAAATCACATGTGATTCGGCTGTTCTCTTATTATCTTAAATAAGTATTGTTCTCGGTTGAACCCAACTCTCTCTTTCTCTCTCTCTCTCTCTCTCTCTCTATATATATATATATATATAGATATATATTGATGTGGGTTGGACTCAAGATGGCTTTTTCTAAGAAACATGAGTTAAATGTGTACTAACTTTTACAAAAATTGCCTTTTTTGACAGTCACCAAAAGATTTCAGAGCAAAACATTGTAAAATAAAATGCGATCCAAGAAAAAGAACCAAACCAAATGAAACAAACCAGTAAGTCCCACCCAGAGTTGGGGTGGGGTGTACGCAGTCCTGGTCTCTACCAGAAAGAGTAGACGGGCTGTTTACGTGAAGATCCCGGCTTGTGCAAAGTGTAAAACAAAAGTGCAAAGCTGCTAAAAAATTTTGTGGAGAAAGAACAAAAGAACTTCAAAATACAAAAGGCAGCTTGGTGTTGCAACTGCTCAAGTAGAACATAGATCTTGCATGCTATAAAAAGCAACAAAAGATTCCCTAATCATAAACCAGAATCCATAAGCCAAGATAAAAGCACATCAAAAGGATATCTTTAAGCCTACCATTAAGCACTTCACCACCCTTGAAAACATAAAGTCTCCATCTTATTTCTGGTTTCCTTGCATCTGGTGGCTCCGTGAACAACAGTGTCACACCTACCAAAAAAATATCCACTAAAAGGTAAGCAAGTAGGTGCAAAAGCTCAGATGACCACTGCTTTTTCCAATATGCTCTTGATTTTATGCACATAACATTTATCATATTTAGTTTGTTTCATGAAAATTGTTTTCTCAAATGACAGAATCTACAAGAATCTAACAAATATAATGCAGAAAATGGATTTTAACATGAACCTAATGCGACCATAAAAATACAACGTACTTCCAATAACCATAAAAGGAATCACATTTTCCTTTATCAACTCTGATCTTATTTATTTGTTGGTTTTTGTGACCTGCCACGTGCAAAGGTTTGCACAACCAAATTCAGTATGTACAGTCACATGGGACTCGTGTTTTATGTCTAAACAAAAACTAGAACTTCGCTTCATCATCCAAGAAGTCTGAAATCAACCTGTTTGCCAGGCAATTTCAAAACACCGTCCATAAAAAATTTAGCTTCCAGTAAAAAAGTAGTAACATTACCATCTAAGCAGTTAACGTCGTCGATTGAGGAAATCATGGTGGTATAGCGGCAAAAAAAATTACGTTCATAAAATAAATACGAATATATATAACTTAAAATGTTGCAAGTTGAATACGCATCTAAGTCAAACAATTCAAACCACACAATAATCTTTGAGAAAAACCGTGGAACCGTGGAAATGAACTGTTTAATCAAGAAGAAAACTCGAGCTGTTGAAGTGTTTTGGACTTGGAATAGATGAGCAGAGTTTTGGACTTAGAATCAATACCAAAGTTTAACCTAATTGTTTTTTTATTTAATCAGCTTCTTTTTGTTGGCAGGCCTAAGTTTGACTCTAAATAGCCCACACAAATGACAAAACAAAAGCCCAAATAGAATCTTTTAAAATTTAAATTAAAAAAAGTAGTCGAAAACAGCCCAAAAAAATCGCTAATTGCGACAGCTATTTGGGGTCAAAAATGCGGTCATTAGCGATAATAGCGCCCGCTATTTGAGGTACCACTATAATACACCACAATTTCTGGACCGCTATTTAGTCCAGGACTGCTAACCGCGATTTCGCCGCTATAGCACGCTATTAACTGCATAGATTATCATACGCAATTGTGGAAGTATCTTCTTTTTAAAATGTCCCTTTAACATATAAAAATAAAGCTTTCTACCTATCACCACAACATTTGCACATCTAATATACCAAAATCTAAATCTAAATTCTATCTAAACTACAGATGGGTCTAAATACAAGAAAGGTTAAGGAGTGAACAAAAGACTCACCTTTCACCCGATTGGTCTCAGCAGCAAGCTTTCCAGACAACTCAAACGAGGGCTTTTGCTGCCAAGCACATTAGAATGTCAAATTAACAGCAAAAAAATTTATGTGTTTTAATTTGAATGGCATATTTGCACATGCTATGCTCAAGGCTCAGATAGTAGAAAACGATTAATGAGCTTAATAAGACTCAACTTATTCGGTCAGCTATACATGACTGTTTGGTAGTGGCTTAATGATATAGTATGTGACTTATTCGGTAAGCTTCTAGGGGGGAGCTTTATGCAGAAATCCAAGTTTCTTTCCAAACATACCCCTCCCAATTAGAAAAACGCTCCTTCCATCTATGAAAAAACCATCCCAAACAAAAATCTTCCCAATCTATTCAGACAGATTAATTCACACGGACTGCTTTATCCATACAGGACTTAATGGGAAATCAACCAAACAACCAAGTTCTGAGTAAGAATTTACAACTTAGAGCAAAATGAGCAAAAAAAAAAGTCCATGCACAATGAATAAGCTAACCTCATGCTCTAGCTCTTTCATAAAGTAAAAGAAATTATTAAATGACCAAAGCATTCATCACGAATCTTGAATCACCTTTTCCTTAGTTTCAAGAGCCTCTTCAGCTGCCTTCATTCGTGCTACTGAATCATCATCACCATTCCTGATCACACGTACATAACATCTAATCAGAGCCTGTGTCAAAGTGGATAAGTAGTAGCGAACTGTGAGCAGACCATGAAAACACCATACTGATATACTCACGTCACGTGGAACTTCCCATTTATGGAAAACGAAGAGCAAGGACCCTAACAAGATTAACAAGAAAAAAAGATATTTGCTCTTCAACTACAATTAACTTTTGAAAATTGATTGGATGATCCTCTGCTTTATGGTGCATGATTGAGGGTTACTAAACATATCTATATGCAAACAAAGACAGAATAACTCTTCCAACAAGGAAGAGTAAATTACTGTAGTAAGGAGGACATACAATCCAAATCATGTCTTGCAATGACTCGCTATACTACCAAAGAATAATAAGGATGAGGGAGGTACGGTGATTTCCTGTGACAACGATGGATGCAGATTAGTGTCGGTACACCTTCGAACACTGAATTGGGATACAGGATAAAAAGATATACCGACTTAACAAGCAAAAAGGTTCTCAAAGAAAGCATTGAGCCTAAAGTTTGAAGAACTAAATAAAGTTGAGAAGTTCAGGTAGGTGCTCACCGATGATCGTCTTCTTTTGAGTTATTTCCCTGGAAAAATAAAATATAAGTCGATAACTTTATTTACGAGTTATCCATTAAAAAGAACAATATTTGATACAAAGGAAGGAAGTCAGGGGATTCTCCATTCAAATCATTATCTTAAAGGCAACGGAGGAGATATAAGTTGTACTCAAGAATTCACAATATCATGCATGATAAATAAATGATAGGCAAGTTAAAGGAATGGATATCACCAGACACCTCATCACGTGCTCCTGTTGCAGCCGAAGGCGAGTGAGATCGGTGCCTACTCCTGTGATGTTCTGCGTGTGAAATTGACGAGACATGTCTGGACTTGGAAGACCCATTGTCTTCTGTGTCCCTTCCTGACTTCCTATCCCTTCTCTCGATGGGTACTTCCCTTTCGGGGTCTCTTTCTTTCCGTCGAGCCCTGTCACCTCCACTATTATGATTCCTTTCATGCCCTCTGTCACTTGTTTTATCAGCTTCGGCTCTCCTCAACCTTCTAGTTCGTGGTGAAGGCGATCGAGATTCAGGGGATCTCGAGTTTGGGCGTGCCGGCGACCTAGTTTTTCCATGATTTTTGTCATGTCCTTTTTCATTTGATTTATCATCCTTGTGGTTAGATCGATCTCTCCTTAACCTCTTACTTCTTGGTGATGGTGATCGAGATCCGGGAGATTTTGTGCTTGGTTGTACAGGAGATCTAGTTCGACTTGAAGGTGCCTCTTTTACAGGCAAACGATCCAATGGGGACCTTGACCTTGTATGCTTGGAGGACCTGCTGTGGGTTGACGGTTTCTCTCTCACTGGTGAATGAGTAATAGGAGACTTTGCACGTCTTGGGGACTTTGTGCGACTTGAAGGCTTTTCTCTACCTGGTGATCTTGCGGAGTATGAACTCCTGTGCTGGGCAGGAGATCTTTCTCTTCTGGAAGGGCTCCTACGAGAAGACCTGTGATTCCTAACAGGTGATTCTGAATAATCGGAGGAATTACGCCCCATGAGGTATCTTCAATTTATAGGTTGAAATTCCTGAATTAAGAAATATATATTGAGAAATCAAAAGGCAAATCATACGGCTATAAAGAACAAAAGGATGATAATTGCATTAGTACTAATTAAAAACAACATATGTTTGATGTGAAAGAACAATTTTTAAACCCTTAACATTTGATGGACTTCTAATGCTTGTATCTTGGCTAGTTTTTTAATTTTGTATATATATGCATGTTTATGCCTTCAAAATTTGAAGACAAATAAAATTTCATTTTAATTTTTATGACATATGCTTCCCACTAAATCAGCACAAATGTGTAATTTAGGAATCGAGGTATGATTAGGAACTCGAAGTGAAGTTCGAATCTACAAGTCGATAACTAATATGCTTCCCAATTTTGTTGCTTTATGTCCAATTTGAATGTGTGACTACTTGAGCTTGATTGAATAAACCATTTATTGACTGTCTGTGTGTTTAAATGGCATATGATTGCAACATTTGCAAGATTTTTTGCATAATGCATCCATCCTTAATGTAACTCTAGAAGTGCGCCACGCATAGGTTAACATCTACTTTTGATAAAATGACTTTACATGTTAATTAAGCAAGACAATAATTTGAAAAAAGCAACATTAAAATTATAAACCATAATAAACTAGAGAACATAGGTAGACATTGTTCAATAAAGATAAAAGAGAGATCAAGAGAATGAGAGAGATGGGATAGGGCAACTTTTTCAAGCGTAAATGGGATACGGCAGAGTCTATGCATCCTGGGTTGTGATACCGTATTAAAACCATGGGTTCTAAATCAACAAAGAATTGCGCTATGTGTGGATTAACCTAGGATTATGTATGCGTCTAACCCTTCCTGTCGATAGTGAATCGAAAACTCCAATTTGTATTGAGTGACGTCAGTTCAAAATTTGAACTAAATGGGCTCCAACAATTCAATATTGAGCATTGGTGCTAGAATCCATCGACTATGTCAATACAAAGAGAAGAAGGGCAGGTCCTGGGGTTTCTGATGCCCAAGGTGGAAAGGCTAAAAATGCCCCCAAAAAATCCATGATGTTTGAGTTGGCCATTTGAAACAAAAGGACGACTACCAAGTATCACAAAACATTCAACAATAAAAACAAAGATAAGCACACATTGTATATCTTGATACGCCAAACCAAGTAAATACTTCATGCAGATTTTAACCAACAAAAACAATTTTATGTTAAAAAACAGAAGGCATCGAATTGAGGGATGAGAAACAGACAACCAATTTAATATGGATGAGCCACTAAAAGAACATTATGACAAACACCGGGCGAAATTAACAATCAAAAAAGATGTTTTATATATAATGGAATATAGCCTTTAATATACTTGGGACTTTTCAAAGTTGGGTGGCATCCATATGGCAAAAAGAAATGTGAAATTCTTGAGTTTATCATGTTCATTCCCAAATTTAGTCCAACCAATCGAAAATATTATCTAGTATGCTCAGGACACTTCAAAGTCAAGTGCCATCCACGAACATTATCATGTTTATTACCAAATATGGTCCAAACCAATCATGACAATTATAGTGAATTAGTGATCTTCTAGACTGTAAAAACATAATTCTAGAGCAAATTATATAATTACATTGACTGGTTTACATTAGCAAAAACCTTATGTCAAAAGGATCCACTTGATTCATTCTGCCACTAAAGGCAATCACATGAAATCTAGCCTATGGAACTAACAAGTTTTCATCATCATATGGACTGAAAATTCTCGAGCACTTGTGCACTTATACCCATCATAAAACTCTCATCAATTTGATGTACATAATACAAGCAAGTAAATTCTTCATCTTTCACTAGGAATGAGTTTCTTAAATATTCAGGACCAAATAGCAATCAAAAATCAACTTCATCAAATAAACCTAATCTAAATCATAACTTCATCAACAAATACAATCATAAATCAATACATAAACTGATAAACATCAACATCAAATATAACTAACGTGAAGGATCTATCATATATGAAAAATCAAAAAAATTAGGATTACGGTGATCAAAATTTTGCCAATTTATAATGTTTAATGCTTAGCTCCTTTACAGAGCCGAGACAAGAAGAGAGCTAAGACAGACCGGCAGAGTTAGGCTCGAGACCAGAAAAGAGTTTGAGAGACGACAGCGGTCGTCCAGATTGAAGCGGTTATTTTTTCAAAGGTTAAAAGTTTTCTTTCAGACCCAATTAAAGCTACCCATGTATAACAATACCAGGAACTGGTGGCGTGCACCGTCGTCTCCATGGCCTATAAACAGGGCCAGCCATGGATGGCAGGCAGCAGCAAGGCAGAAACCCAACACATAGAAAGAAAAACAATAACGTTCGAATAAACTCCCAAATAAACAATTAGTTAACACTATTTGTTTCGGGTAGAAGGCAAAACTAAATGCAACACATAAGAGCAGCGACGGAGGAGGATCAGAAACCTGTCTTGCACCGTAGAAGAGGGAGGAGCAGCAGCGTCGATGCGTAATAATAACTGAAAATGAAACGCTCCGTACATCATATACTTTTGAAGCATAAATGAATAAAAACTAAATGTGAAACAAAATACCAGTGTGGTAAGAAGAAAAAAACCCTAGAGAAATGAGGGGACTATACCTGGAACGGAGAAGACGAGACTTGTTGAAGTTTCAGCACCGGCGAAGGTTGCCGAAGGAGAAGTGACTAACCGGGAGTGAGGCCCGACTTAGGTAGCAGTTAAGTGAGCGGTGAGACGGTGAGAGCTCCGTCGTGAGCTCCGATTTTGGTGAAGATTGGGAAATGGTAAGGAGGGTACGTACGTATGGTTCCTGTCCTGGTGATTTACTGGGCTAGTGGGCTGCACTAGATCCGAATCGCCTGGCTGAGCCGGGACGGGTTGGGCTGCCGGTTCAAATTTCGTTCGCTAGGATAACGTTGGCCCAGACTGGTTGTTTGTATGTGTTTGGTATAACTAGAAAGGTACTCATACAATGCAACAAGATACATATCGATTTTAATGTTATATTTTATTATTTGTCTCTATCGATGTTATAGTACGATTTTATTTATTTTTAAAAAAGCAATAATGATTTTATTTTTAAATAAAATATAAATTTGAAAAAAAAAATATTAATGTTAATATCAAATCAACTATTTAAAAGTTCTTATTTTTATTATAATTTAATTTAATTTTAATAATGAAATAATTTATTTTTAGTTTAATAATATAACATTTTATAAAGATAATAATTAAATATTCTGTTATAACTCAATGATTATCCTAATTATATTTTAGATTTTTTATATTTAAAATAAGATGTTTATCATGTATTTGATTATGTTTATCTACAGTTAGTTACACGAATTCATATATAGAGCTTTAATAAGTTGTACTTATGTACAATCTACTTGTAATCTTGAGTTTTAGGTAATATGCATTAATAAACAGTATTTTACGCATAAAAAATGTTTTTTTAAGAGTTTTTGTCAAATGTTTTATAAGATAGTATAGATTAGAACAGGATTAAATAGAATTGTTAAAATGACTGTATTACCCCTTGAAAAACGAACACTCAATTTGATAGAAGAAATCGACTCGATTTGATTTGCACAACCAACACTCGATTTGATAGAGGAAATCGATTTGCAAAATAATCGATTAGGAAAAGAAATCAAAGTGTAGCAGGCCATATATCGGTTTCAAACGAAATCAAAAATCACTCTGAAGATGAAATTGATTTGGTAACTCGGTTTCGATATTGTTTTAGGGTTCAACAACGATTTAGAAAACCCGATGGAAGCTATTTTTGTTACCGATGTTAGAAGACATGGGTAATTTGGTAATCTTGTGTTTCTCTCAGTTTGTTCCAACTATTTTGGTGGAACAAAAAAACTTAAGTTTTATCCATGAAAATTAGATTTTGTCTCATGTTGTCCCATGGCATACCAAACATGTGACTAATTTTTTTTCTTGTCCCATCCCCATTCGGTCTGCGTATCAAATGCACCGTAAAAATCGGTCCCAGGATCGGGCCTAAATTGGTCTCCGTCTCAGATTTGCTTTTCGTAATCGATCCCGACCAAAAACCCATAGCCTGGTCTATGTATTTTAGAAACCGGATCCAAATCGGTCCCAAAAAAATTTCCCCAAAAATCAACTTTGAACATAAAAATTTGTGTTTGAAGTTTTTTTTTTTTTGACAATATTCACAAAAATATTATAGACGTTTTTATAATTACGATTCTCGAAATTTAGTATTGAAACACTTACAAAAACTTGGTTCTATTTTAAAGAACTCGAAGTTTTTGGTAAAATGAAACTTGATTGTTTTGCAGGAATTTTGAAAAGCTTGATATATAATTTATAAAAACTTATTTTTTTAAAAAAATTTGGGCCTATGTATAACAGGTCCCGAGTCGGGCCGTAAATTTTTCAAAAAAGTGTAACGGGTTAAGGACAGTCGGGCTCATCCTGAGACAGATACCAAATCGGTAGCAGTCCGGGGTCGGGCCCATTTTTCCATCTCTAACTAGATCGGACCAAGGCTATGGTCTCGGGTTTTGTAACATCATGATTCAAGAGTGGCAATTTTGTACATGTTACATATGCATTAACCATATAAATTGCAGTCATCTGATAGTTCAGAAAAGTACTCGCGTGATGTAACGAGATAAACCTCGATTGTAATGTTTAGTTTTTATTTTGTCTCTATCGATATAATGTTTTTATTCTTGATTAAATATATTTGAAGAAAAAAAAATCGATATTAGTATCAAATTAACTATTTAATAGTTCTCGTTTTTTTGTGTAACTTCTTTAATTCAAATTTTTATTATAATTTAATTTAGATTTAATAAAAAAATATTTTTGATTTAATAATATAATTTTTTATAAAGATAATAATTAAACGTTCTGTTAAAACTCAATAATTATCTTAATTATATTTTAGATTTTCTATATTTAAAATGAATGTTTATCATGTATTTGATTATGTTTATGCTAATTAGTTAATGAATTTAAAAATAAAGCTTTAATAAGTTGTACTATACAAAATTGTAATCATGAATTTTAAGTAACATGCATCAATAAACAGTATCATTCAAAAAAATTTGAACACATTGCACGTTTTCATATTGTAACTTGAAGTTGGTACAAGACCAGTACCAAATATGGTTGGTTGGTATATGGTATACAATTTTACGTATCAATTGATATACGATATTAAAGAAAAAACTTGGTACCATACGTTTGTAATTTTGGAATAGAGATGTGTATATGTCCTTATATCCATTCATTGGGTTTTTTAATAATGGTTTTTGACGGAGACTAAATCTGTAAATAGTCCCAACACTTTTGTAAGTGGTGGAGGTGTTACTTGTGGACCTTTATCTAATTTACAGATCTGGTTTTTGCACGTGTTTATCTGATTCATAAACCATTTTTTTACAGTTTGATCCCTCCACATATTGAGGAGGTGTCACTTCCGGACCTAGTGATATTTTTGAAATTTAGGGTGAGAAATGACTAAGAGATAAATCAAAATCCTAAAAACAGTTATTTCTATTAATTTCCCTATTATCTATTAGTAATAAAAAATCATTAATGGTTAACCGTGGAATTACGTTTTATTTTGACTTCGGACAAATACTTTCTTAAAAAATTATTGATACTACACAACGTGCAAGTCCTAAACTAGTGTGTTATTAAAAGAGAGGGAGGTGATTAGAGTTAGCAACTTTGTCTTTTTTATGATGAAATATGAGGTACACCACTTTGAGTTTTATGAATTTCACGGGTAAATATTTTTTTTAATAACCCATAAGAAAAAACCCTCGAGATTCATAGAATTTCAACTGGTTAGCTTCGTTTGAGTTTGAGTTCGAGCTTAATTTGAGCTTCAACAAGTTGGAGTAAGAAAATTGCCATCGAGTCAAAGAAATGACTATCAAGTTCAAGTCATGTATACTAATACTCGAGTTCAACTCACATCATTTATACCCCTAGAATCGAGTCAAACAAAAATGCATTCTGTTGTATCCCATCAAAATAGGTGAAATAAAAATCAAACATATGAAACAAGAGTAGTAATTATCATTCCCCATTTACCCCTTATTCGGCCCCTATCTCCTCCTTTCTAGACCGCAAATGATAATTTAAACAAAGTTCATATGTGAAACATTGATTTTTTGTTTAAAGTTCATAGAATGAAACAACGTTTTTTGTTCAAAGTTTATAAGGCTTTATAATGTTATTTCGTGTATGAAGTTTGGTTGTTCGAAATTTTTTTACCAAAGTTGAAGGGTGAAACCAAAAGGTTTTTACAGTGTATGATAATCTTTTTCAAAATGATAAGTGAATAACATAATTAAGGAATGTGATATCATCGAGTGAAAAGACGAAAATACTCTATAAACTATATTTACCAAAAGAGGTATGCATATATATATATATATATATATATATATATACTAGAAGCGTACTCGCGCAATGCAGCGAGATACATCGTGATTTTAATATTTCATTTTATTCTTTATCTCAATCGATGTTATAATATGACTTTATGTGATTTTGAGAAAATAGATGATGTTTTTATTTTTGAATAAAATATATGTTTGAAGATATCAATAAAATTTGACAAAAATATATCGATATTAGTATCAAATTAACTATTTGAAATTCCTCGTTTTTTTTGTGTAATTTTTTAATACAATTTTTTATAATTTAATTTATGTACAATAACGAAGTAATTTATATTTGGTTTAATAATATAATTGTTTTATAAAGATAATAATTATTTATTTTGTTGGAACTCGATAATTATTCTAATTATATTTTAAATTTTTTATATTTTAAAATGAGATGTTC